CACCAGAGGAAGATGCTTTAAAATCCAGAATAGGTCTTGATGCTGGAGCCGCTCCTACCTCAGAAGAGAAGGGAGATACTCTCACAACTATAGAAGCTGATGATAATGGAAGTGACGAAAAGAAGAAAGATAAGAAAAAAAAGAAAGGAGAAAAGGAGGAGAAAGAAAAGAAAAAAGGTCCTAGCAAAGCCACTGTTAAAGCTATGCAGAAAGGCCTTGCTGAACTTAAAGAAGAAGAAAAAGAAAGACAGAAGAGGGGGAATGCATCCAACAACGTGAAGAGTTAGAAGCCAAGCGTAAGGAAGAGGAACGATTAGAGCAAGAAATGAGGGAAAGAAGGAGGAAAAAAGAAAAAGAAAGAAAAGAACGCTTGAAAAAGGAAGGCAGGCTTTTAACAAAATCCCAGAGAGAAGCCAGAGCTGGAGCTGAGGCTACTCTTAAACTTCTCCAAGCTCAGGGTGTTGAAGTGCTATCTAAATTAGATTCTTTGCCAAAGAAGAGGCCAATATATGAAGATAAAAGAGGAAAAAACCACAGCCACAAGAAGAAAATAAAGAAGAAACAATAGAAGTGAGGGTTCCAATAGAAGTGAACAGAACAAGCTATTCCAGAAAAAGAAGAGTCCCTGCCTCTTGTAGAAGCAGAAGAAAGTGAAGATACTGGCTTGGATGATTGGGAAGCAATGGCTAGTGATGAGGAAAGGAAAGGAAGGGAAGGGGAGGGGAGGGGAGGGGAGGGAAGGGAAGGGAAGGGAAGGGAAAGGAAAGGAAGGGAAAGGAAAGGAAGATCTGTCAACAGTTCATTGATGCATTGAAGGATTGGTTCAGAGATGAAATGCAGAAGAGTGACTGGCAACTTGTTGTGGAGCTGAAGAAAGTATTTGAAATCATCTAATTTTTCCAGTGGGCAGGAAAAGTAGTAAACTTACTATTCTGTTGTATTGTCACCAAGAAAACCAAGCAAAAAAAAAAATTGAGAAACAATGTATTGGACTTCGATGGACTTAAGTTTGGAAGGAAAAAAATAGGTGGATAAAATGTTTTCTATGAGAAACCAAGAAACTTACACTGGTTTGACAGTGGTCAGTTTACATGTCCCCACAGTTCCAATGTGCCTGTTCACCTGTCCCACTACCTTTCCCTTCCCTTCTTTACTGGCTGCTGTTTAAAATTTGCCCTATTCCAAATTTGAATTTTTATTACAGAACTAAAGCTCTTTCAATTTTATACTGATTAAATCAGTACTGCAGTATTTGATTAAAAAAAAAGAATAAGAGCTTACGCCCACTAAATTTTAGCAATTTTTTTTTTTGTTTTAGAGAGACTGTGTCAGGTCTAATTGTATAGCAGGTGGGTAAAATTTTATATTTAAATATCTTTTCAGATTGGGATATTAGTCCTGGAATCACATACTGTGCTCCAAACTTGGACGTTTCCACAGAACTGTCATTGCAGAAAAGTCTTGGAAGGAAGGATCTCTTCATCTCCAACTTGGGAGAATCCTGGGAATGTGATGCTAGGTTAGGGAAGCAACCGGGTAGGAAGGAGAAACATTCTGGGTAAGTAAGAATCACCCAACAAAGTGAGAAGCCATGAGGATAGTGACCCTAGAGGAAGCTTCACTGCAGGACCAGTCTTCTTTTCCAAATAGAGAAGATGCATAGGGAAGAGTCTTCATAATTGCTACTTACACACAAAGAGCTTCAGGAAAGTGTCATGAAGGTGGTTAACATTTCAGTTCTAAGTTAAATCTTATTACCTTTCATAGATCATGTCCTGGAGAAAAACATTATAAATATGGAGAATATTGAGAAATCTTCAGAAGGAGCCCAGATATCAATTACTCTAAGTCAGTTGATACCCCATAAAGAGAAGCCCCAGAAAAAAAAAACAGATAATAAACGTCTGAAGGCTTTCCCCCAAGGCATACAACGTATTTATACATGAGACAATTCATTCAGGACTACTTAATGAACTGATGAATGTGGTAAAGCTTGTACTCACTGCCCGTCTCTTCCTTCCCGTCACAGATCTTGTGTTGGGCAGAAATGTTATGAATGTCACGAATGTGGGAATGTCTTCCCTCGGAGGGCAGCTTTGACTCGACACCTGAGGATTCACACTGGAGAGAAGCCTTATGAATGCCACGAGTGTGGGAAGGCCTTCCGTGTGAGTGGCATGCTTACTGTACATAAGAGGATTCACACTGGAGAGAAGCCTTATAAATGCAGTGACTGTGGGAAAGCCTTCCGTGTGAGCGAACATCTTACCCAACATCAGATCCTTCACACCGGAGAGAAGCCGTATAAGTGTCACGAATGTGGGAAGTCCTTCTACCGGAGCACAGAGCTTACTCGACATCAGAGAATTCATACTGGAGAGAAACCTTATGAATGCAGTGAATGTGGAGGGACCTTCCGCTGGAGGGCAGCTCTCACCCAACATCAGACAATTCACAC